CTATTGTGTGTATATATACCACATTTTGCTTGTTTGTTCATCTGCTGATGGACTCTTGAGTTGCTTACACGTTTTAGCTACTGTGTGAATAATGCTGCTATGAACATGGATGTACAAATATCTCTTTGAGAACCTGCTTTCAATTCTTTTGGGTGTATACCCAGGAGTGGAATTGAGGGATCATATGTTAGTTACTATTTTTAATTTTTGGAGGACTGCCATCCTGTTTTCCACAGTGGCTTCACCATTTTACAACCCCACCAACAGTGCTCAAGGGTTCCAATTTTTCCACACCCTTGGCAACACTTGTTATTTCCTGTTTTCTTGACAGTGCCATCCTAATGGGCGTTAAGTGGTATCTCACTGTAGTTTTGATTTGCATTTCCCTAATGATTAGTGATGTTGAGCATTTTTCTATGTGCTTATAGATTACTTGTGTATCTTCTTTGGACATAAGTCTGTTCAAGTCCTTTCCCATTTATGAATAGGGTTGTTTGTTTTTCTAATTATTTATTTATTGAACACCTGTATAATGTTTACTGTGCGCCAGGCATGTAACTGTGTGTTAATCCTAATAACTCATGAGGCAGGTGCTGGTTTTCTCGTGAGAAGCCCAGGTACACCTGGCCCAAGGTCACACAGCTGCAGGCTATAGACCCAGGAAACTTGGTTCCCAAGTTCATGCATGCAATTTCTGGGCTCTCTTGACATACGAAGGATGGCCCTTCCACCAGTTCTCTCTCAATCCTCTGGCAAGCCCTGGACATTTAATTTTTCTCTGCCACCTGAGAGGTCACTTGGGGTCAAAAAGCCTTAAGAGTCGAAAACAAGGTGGCTCAGACCCAGGAGAGTGCTATGGCCTGTACCTGGGAAGCAGCCCATAATTCTATGAATGTAAGAAGTCTTATGCTCCCATTTCCCAAGAATTCCAGAAACAGTTCTTCTTGGACTAGAACTGTTTGTCCCATTCAGTGTATTCTCTGCAAGAAATTTCACTGGAGAAGCAGCAGAAGACACGGGCATAAAACTATGAGACGTGGGAGCAGTTATTTTGAGGAAAATGTGTCTTGAGGACTCTCTGCCCAAGCCAATTTAAAAATAAGCAGGTCTCCGATGTCGAAGGATGGGCCGATCCCTGAGGTTATTGAGTAAAAAGTCAACACTGTAAAGTCAATTATGCTATTGACAGATACTCTTACAAGGAGATTACACATCATAATTATATGCAAAGGAACCCAGCAAATACAAGCTGTGTAATGACCAGCTAATAAAAGTAACACTTCATCTATGTCAATAACAGTTTCAGAGTTAAGACAAACAAACATGGCCTTTGCCACTCAGTGGAGGAAAAAAAAAATCCCTGAAAGACAAATATTTTCACTTAAGGAGAAGTTGCTTAGACTCACACAGAAAACCTGTCACACAAAGCAGGGTAGGAAGCAGGTCTTCAGGGGGTGCTAATGACTTTCTGGCCCTCCTGCCAGCCCCAGCTGAACTGATGGGGACAGCAACCCCTGTAAACATGTGAACACCCCCAGGGACCCTTGGTCACTGCCACGTGGTCTGGCGGACGACGTTTGCTGTTGTTCTATTCTCTGCTGGACTGTTTTCCCTATACCCTTAGTTGAATTTAGGTTCAACTGACAAATGGCCAAATTTAAAACAATTGCAATTGCAATGAATGTGAAAAAGCACAACAAGATCCCCCCCTCCCCTCCAAACACTTCTTAATGGGTTTTACACAGTCTCCCACAAATACCCACCTAGCTATGTTTATATTCATTTTTCCTGAAAGTGTCGCACTGCCTCCTATTTGGGCCATAAAGAGGGCAAAGGTATTATAAGCAAGGGTCCCTGATCTTCCAGAGCCTGCGACATTCCTCTCCCTAACGTCTCTTAAACTGAGGTGGAAAGTGCAGAATTGGTATTTGGATAATGGACTGCTAATGCACAATGGTTTTCTTTATCTCTATTTATGCAAATGGGAACTTGTCTAGTTTCTGCGAACTGCGGTTGTACATTTCACTGAAATGATTCTGCTTAAACCTCCTGTGACGTTGAGGAAGGTCACTCTTCGACTATGAGCGCTTTTGCAGGGGGACAGACGTTATGAGCTATTGTCACTCAGCCCCAACCCCAGACTACTGTACTGTTTCGTGGGCTGGGGCAAGCCACATTTCTGCAGCACTCCTGGCTCTGCCTTCAAGAGACTGGGAAGGGGGTGGAGGAAGAGGGGACACGCTCCTTCCTGTGTGCTTCCTGTCCCTGTGTCACCCCAGCAATGCCTCTTCCCCTCTGCAGCGCCAGTTCATTCCTACAGTAGCCGCTGAATGCAGTTTGTGATTCTTCCAATACTGGAGACCCAACTTCTTCACGTTCCCTGACAGGTACGTGCCCTAGCAGGAGCTTTCTCCTTAGAGATACCTCTGGTCCTTCCACGGGTCCCTCCTCTGAGCTCAGAGATTCCAGCCCAGCTCAGTGGTACCTCCTAAGAGGTCTGGATCCCAGCCCCAGCCCCTCCTCTGAGGTCTGAGGTCCAGCTTTGAGAGGCAGTCATTCCAACCTCACCCGAGAGGATGTGGCTACTTCCTACAACTGTTTCCTCCGTGATACCCTGAGTCCTCTGTTACCCTTCCGGTTGCCTGGTTAATAACTTTCTACCTGGCTAACGGTTCTTTATTTCGAAGTCTCTCTATTCGAGTACCTAGTGTGGCTTCTGTCTCCCAACTGGATCTGACTGACACATAGGTCTAGCCCTGAACCTGTCTGTGGCCTTTTACCGTGGAAGGAGCCTAGGTGAGGCACTGGCTGGACTGGATGAGTAGCAACTCTTTTACCAGAAAGAAGACATCATTGTTTTGCTGTAGTGCTATGTTATCTTCTAACCAGAACATAACCAGTTAAAAAAAAATTATATTTTACATAATGCTTCTAGAGGCTAATCAGTAAATTTCTGCAATTATATATGCCATGAGGGTAATAATTAAAATTAGGAATTAAAATTAGGAGCAGCTCCTGCTGAAGGCCAGCCCGGTCTCAGGCCTCCCTTCGCTCTGCCTGGCTCTTCCCTTCTCTGGGGGAATGGCTGGAGCCACATGGAGAGCTTCGTTTGCTTTCAAAGGCACTGAAAAGATGCTGAAGACGACAAACTGAAAGTCTGTACCTAGCATCCGCTCAGAAAAGTAGATTGTTACTCCCCGTAAGAATAGTCTACGGTCTCAAAGTCTTCTCAACCAAAAAGGCAAACTAGGAGGTTAGGCAGAAACAATTTTAAGAAAGAACAGAAAACAGAATGTCTCTCTCATAATGTGAGGCCAAGGCATGGATATATTGGCTTCATGGAAGAGGCTTACCATTTATGAATTCAATTACTGATCTCAGGATATCTAAGAAAAATATGGGAGAAGTACAAGAAAAAGAACCTTCCCATACACTTTTGGAAAGTATCACCATGTCTGGTTAACAGAAATGATAAGTGGTTTTTATCATTCTATGACTATTCTAATTCCTACCAACTTTCCTCCTTAGCAGGTTCCAAATGCCAGCGCCTGCCCTGAAGATTAAGGACTTCCATCCTGTCAAAAGTAGTTGGTTTGCTGGGAGGATTAAAAGACACAAGTGAGTGGAGAATCTCCACATGGTTGATTCACATCAGGGAGCTCGACCTTATGTGTCCCTCAGGGCCCAGTTAACAGACTTCCTGGGATGGTTTCCTTTGGGACATGAAACACTATGAAAGCAAAATCGCCATTAGGTGTGAACTTGATCCAAAAGTGCAGGAAAGAAGCTAGAAGGTGATGCTGTGAAGGGATGCAGCTCAGCATGGCAGGCCTTTTCTAAACAAGTAGCTGTGCAACATGCAATGAGACATCAGCCAAGTGAGTGAGACCCAGCTCCTGTCCTCAGCAAGCAAACCACAGAGGACAGAGGGACACACACACATAGGGTCACTCATCAAAGGGTCACAACCAAAGCATGGGCTTATGGGTTCCAAGAAAAGAGAAATTAATCTGATGTTGGCTCAGAGGCCTGCGCAGAAAAGCTCTGTGAAGGAACCATTTTTGTGATGGGCCATGAAGGATATGCTGCCTTGTATATGGAGTCTGAGGGGAATCGACAGAGAGGAAACTGTATGAATAAGATGGGCAAACACTGGATGTATGTGGAGAACAAATTTGGCTCAAGGAGATGGGAGGACCAGGGGGACATCAGGGTGATGTGGTGGGAGCCAAGGAGGATGCTTTTGCAGACAGCTGGAGAGGCACATTTTAGGAAATCAGTCTGGCGATGGTTGATGGATGGGCGAGGGTGGGCAGAGAAGCAGCAAGGAATAGGAGGAAGGCATTCAAACTGGTGCGTGTGAGGCTTCCAAGCTAGCGACAGACCCTACTCTGGGGCTGGCAGAGGAGGTGAGAAGGATGGAGGAAAGAAATTTCCCAAGGAAGAGTTCATGTGGTTTGGCAACTGACTGGATTCTCAGAAGCAGGGGACTGATGCCACCTGGTATTTATACATCACTTACCAAAGCACTTTTCACACATAATTTTTTGCATGTTTCATTGCAACCCTTCCCAGGACTAGAGGATTTTGTGGATGAGGGAACTGAGGCCCAGAGAGGTCAGACATCCACCCAAAGTCAAAGGACTGGGAAGTGACAGGGCTAAGTCTAGAGGTCGACCAGCTAGCCTAGAATCTAATGACTAACTTGCCCACCATTTCCTTCTGTTCACCTTACCCCACCTTTTTAGAATAAAGCAACTTAGTTTCATCTGTCTTCATTTAATCTGCAAAGAGACCAGGATAATTTGATGGCCCAAGAAGGAGAAGTTGGCACTTGGATTGGGGTCCCTGGGAGCTACTTTAACTTTTTCGAACACCCGTATTATTTCTGTCTTTACTACTTGAGGCTGGTCTTCTCCAACCCCTCGAGTAGCCCCGTGGGACACACAATGTCCTTCCCACTCCTCAGGTGGGCTTTGCCCAGCAAGCTTCTCCCTTACCTCACGGCTGCTGTCATTCCAATGGGAGTGATTGGCAACGGCCGGACTCCGGGAAACAGGCCTCGGCTCAGAACCCGCGTTCCGTTTTGTATCACTCCTGGAGGAACTGAAAGAGCAAAAAGGGAAAAGACACCACACATGAATCCAACTGTGAAGATTTCTGCTCTGAGTCAGAAATTTTGGATACACCAGAGAACGAGAGAGAGAGAGAGAGAGAGAGAGAGAGAGAGAGAAAGAGAGAAGGGAGAAAGAGAGAAGGGAGAAAAAGAGAAGGGAGAAAGAGATAGTCATAGGTACATAGAGCAAGCAGAGACAGAGAAACACACACAGACACACACACACACACAGGCCACACACACACACACACACACACACACACACACACACACACGGAGATAGATACAGAAAAAAATACCATGAGAGCGAGACAGAAAGAGAGAAAGATACCACACCTCAAGAAAGGGATCTAGTCAGCCAAGTCAGACCAATAGCTTATTATTGATGCCTTGGTGGGGGAAAAAAAAAAAGATGAGTTTTAAAAAGTGGGCTTCAAATATTATTTTCTTGCATTTATTAAATATAATCTTTTATCTCTAATCAGACCCTAAAAAGATCTTAAGAACCTGACACCACCTGACAGCAGATGACCAAACAAAAGCATTTCCTCATGCTTCGCTGTTCATGGTCAGAACTGGGAACATCTTTCTAAGCGTCCTTAATCCAACAAGGGAAAAAGACAGCCAAAAGAACAGCAGAGCTGATTTTACAAACTACTCAGCACCTCAGCGCTCACAACATCATCTCATCATCTCATAATCCTCACAACCGTCTCTGTTGGGAGTGAAGGGCCGTCAGTGGCGTGGATCTGGCTCCTGCCTCAGAATCACACAGCCCGCTCTGGAGGGCCGCCTTCCTCGTTCCCAGAAGCTTCCTCTAAGCAAATCTCCTGAGAGCTCTCTCATCATCCCATGGTCTCCTATACACACTCATCCCTGGATTAATCGTAAGCCAACCTTTCACGCCAGTGACCATCAGATACTGCCCATGCTGCATATAAACTCACGGTGGCCTTACATGAATCTGAGGATGTGCAGAAGACGGGAACCATAGGAAATCCCTGATATTCGATCTTTTTTGACCTCCCAAACAGCAGTTTCTTCTGGTTCAAGCTAATATTCTTACTGCACCATCAACACTCCTCCATGTGTGTGTATATGGGGCCAGGCATGCATCCTGTGTGAGCGCACTGACACCAGGGTTTTAATCTTAGTTCTTCTGGTAGGACTTCAGGCAAGCTCACGGAATCTCTGTGTCCCTCTTTGAACGGTGTTCTCTAAGACCCCTTCCGCTGCCAGCATCCGAAAGAGTCCCCAGAGCTCTGGCTGTGTTCATGCAGCCCCTGGCACAGTCTCATCCGGGGGCAAGGTGGACAAATTGTGCTTTCTCAAACAAACACCTTACCAAAAAGACTCTAGAAAATCATACCTTCAAAAATAAAAGCCACTCTGCATATTAAGTTTTTAAAGCTGATATTATTTGTGTAGAATAACTACTTTTCCCAAAATACACAGCATATACTTTTTACTCCTATCATTTTCAGGTCTCTAAAAGCACATTTACTTAAATATTCTGAACCTTCAGTCAGGTCTTTCACGTAGGATGAATGTCCACTCTGGAATATGGGATTAAGTTATAGACCGATTCCTTGGGCATTCTGTAGCTCCTGCTAATATTTTTTTGCCATTTCTCATCCAGGTTTGTGTAAGGCCCTAGTTACTAGGTTTTATAAAAGGTGGGATGGGAGACAAAATTGAAACCAGTGCCTGAAGTCAGTACTACTAGTGCAGTCAGGGTTCCAGAATCCCGTCTCTTCCCATATTTAATTATGAAGGTAGTCTGAACTAGATCAGGAATTCCTACCCATCCCGTACTATCAGCCTGATTTCAGATCATCTGAGGCAGGGGACTCACCAGGTATCTTAAAAGCATGAAACCTGTTATGATGTGATATTGCAGCTAATTATCATAGTTTGCCCAGTTGATGAGTTTTCTAGAACTCTAGAAGAGTGTCTAGAATTTATATTTACCTGAATTATTCCTATAAAACTACAAGACAGTGCGGTATTGGTGTAAGTGCAGAAATATAGATCAATGGAACAAAATAGAGTCCAGAAACAGACTCATGTGTGTGGTCAACTGATTTTTTGACAAAAAATATGCAGACAACACAATGGGGGAAAAGAGAGAACAATCAGAGATCCATTTGGAAAAAAATGAACCTCGGTCCTAACCTCGTACCCTTAGGAAAATTAATTAGAAATGGATCATAGACCTAAACGTAAGCACTAAAACTACGCAACTTCTAGAAGAAAATACCAATAGCTTCTGTGGACAGACATATGTAAAAACCAGTAGAACTATGCAGTTTGTAGACAGATGCTTCAGGCTGCTTGAAAAGAGAGGTGTTTTTGGTTTGTCTCTGTTTTGGGGATCGTGGGAAAGGGTTTTTCAATTATTTTCTGTAGGGTACTCTCCTCAAAATGGTCAGATGACCACAGGTTCAGTTTAATTCTGATAATACTATTTAATATACCAGTCACTAGGGATCTCATCTAGAACAGCAAGCAAATCTCATAGAATGGTACCCCCCCCAAAAAACTTAAATATTTAAAATTTATACCATGGTTATAATTCTCACCAGTAAAAATTATTACAGTCCCATATACAGATCGTATCAATTAATGGATTAAACTACCAACTACCTGCCAGTGTATGAGACGAAGGGGACACAGGGTCCCCACAGTTAAGTGGGACAGACAGAAAACTGAAGAGGCAATGAAAATATACTATGGCGAGTGCTAGGGCAGGGGGCCTACAGGCATGAAAGATGGAAACACCAAACCCCAAAAAAAAGCTATCTGGGAAGCCTTACTGTAGGAAGTGCCGTCGAAGTTGGGATTCAAAGGCACAAACCAGGCCTAGAAGTGATAAAAATCACAATGTGCACATGAACTAAAAAGTAATTTTGATAAAGCACATAATCCGAGCAGGAATGAGATGCCTTTGGACTTCATCCCATGAATATTGGGAAAACCATTAAAGGGTTTTGAGCAAGGAAGTGGTCTGCAGCATAGTGGCTGAGAGCCAGACTCTGGTGTTTCCCATTCGTGTCCTTTACTGCCTGTGTCCCCTGACAAGCTACTTAAGTAAGAAGGAGACAAATGGTATTTATCAGAGTATTTAGAGATTAACTGAATCAATACAGGCATTGCTATTTTGAAAATACACGTTAGTCATCAATCCCCTCCATCATCAACATCAACATGCTCAACATTCCCAGAGCAATCCTGGGGTGGCCTGTGCTGTCTCCAGTCCAGGTAAGAAGAAAGCCCATAAGAATGGGTAAAGACAAAACCAGACCGTATTGGAAGACCTTGACCATCTTTCTGGTCACAGACTTAGCAGGAAGAGCAACCACTGCTCTCACGGTGCTTCCGTTCTCCTTGAACAAATCATGTCAGAGTCACCATTTTGGCAAAAACACCGGAACCACCTAAAATCCTGGGACAAAGACTAGGGAGCCCTGGAAAGTGAAGAGGGCGGATGAGACTCATGGAGCATGCATTCCCCTGGCCTCTAGTACGGCCACAGAATCACCTGCCAGTCAAAGGAGAAATGCAGCCCCACTTTTTCTTTTGCCCAGAGTCCTCTGCCCAAGTGCCTAGAACCTCTAAGCACCAGGGGCGCACCTGGCGTGAAAGGAAACAGAGAAAGGAAGCCAGCCCTCACTGAGCACCTACTGGAGACTGGGTTCTTTTGACCCTCTTGTCTCATTTAAGCTTCAGGGAAGAAGCCTCCTGCATGGTTACAAGTCATGGGGCCACATGGCCTCCACTCAAAGTCTTGCCCCACCGCTAGCTCTGTGGCTTTGGGCAAGTGCCTTACCCTTTCTGTGCCTCAGTTTCCTCACCTGTGAAGTAGGCATAAACATACCTCAGAGGATCATTTTGAAGATTAAACAAGACAAAGTACACAAATTGCTAGCTCAGTGGCTGGCCCATTATATAAGCTCATCATCACCGTCATCACCATGTTCATCCTTCCACCATCCCATCTCACCGCAACGGCATCTTCTTACTAATTATCTCTGAGGCACAGGACCTAACGGGGTCAGGACATGGGGAAATTCTTTCAGCCTATTATGCTTTTTGTAGCTCTCCCTAACTCTGCACTCACCCCTGAAAACATCTTCCTGGTTAATGAACTGTATTCACTTCAAAGACAATCTCACGGACGGAGCTATCCCTCAGCATTAAAAAGTTTTCCCTGAGCTATTTTCTAAAACTCGCAAGACTTTTGGTGTGCAGACTAGGCTCTTCTTCTGAATCCTGGAGCTCCTTCTCAAATGAGCTGCCACTGAACGCTGCCTCGGCCAAACCCGGCGTTTCTCAGTCCTCAGCACTGGCAGTGCGCCTCACGTGCGGCGGGCGGGTGTGCCCCTCTCTGCTCACAGGCTGCCAGGAGCCCGGCTGTGACACTTAACTGTCCTCCCATCTTTTCTCCTTTCTGTCTCCATCCCCAAGTGTCAAGAATGTGGCTTCTGAAAGATGAATCACAGCCAGTCTAAAATGTCTGAGAAAGGTATTCTGAGGTCCCTATTGCATGGCTTTTTTGACTCTGGGATCTGGTGGAACCCGAGTCCACCGCTCCTCAGTCCTTCTCCTATCAGCAGGTCGACTTCCTTTCATTTCCTTTGCATTTCCCTCAATGTATTTCAAAGCACGTAAACCCCAGTGCACCCCACCCAATGTGCTGAAATTATACCTAGGCTCCAGCTAGAGAAGAGATGCCATAAGAAACTGGACATTCAAAATCAACCTTAAACTCAGATTTGTGGCTCTCACTAAATCAACTATACTCCAACAAAAATTTAAAAAAAAAAAAAAAAGCATAGGCCTCCAGCATCATCCCTTTCTGTTAGATCAGTTAAATATTTGGTTCTTCACAGGGAACTCTGCCCAATACTCTGTAATAACCTAAATGGGAAAAGAATTAGAAAAAGAATAGACACATGTACATGTACAACTGAACCACTTTGCTGTACACCTGAAACTAGCACAACATTGTTAATCAACCTACTCCAATATAAAATAAAATTTTTTTAAAGTGGCTTTTATAGGAGAGAAGACATACATCTGAGACTCTCAAATCCTGGGATGAGGTGCTAAGGACATCAGCACCAGGGCTCCCAGCTGATCGACCACTTTACATTAAGTTATACAGTGACCCTAAACTTTCTTACTTTTAACCAGCAAGAAAGCAACACACGCAACACACACACACACACACACACACACACACACACACACACACACAGAGTCCAATCAAGCAGCACCGCTCACTGTGATCTAAATGTGATCGTCTCCAGAACCTAAAAAAAAAAAGTTGAAGGCACAAGAGAAACCTTCCTGCAGCTCCGCCCCCCTCAGCTCCGCCCCATCCTGGCTTCCCCAGCTTCCCTCCTGATGCTCAGTTTCCTTGATTTTCACAGCTTGTGAAAGTAACCCCTGCACTCCTGCTGCCGCCTTTGGAGAGCAGCCCTGGCTAAGCTACCAGAGGCCATAAGCTGAGCAGCAGGTGATTCCGATAATCCTTCCCTTTCCTAAAATTGGCCTTTCCACCTGCTTCCTTGGAAAGATGCTGGGGAGGGGGCTGAGAGAGGGGAGCCTGCTTCCTGGTTGCCCTTCTTCGCTGGTGGCTGGTGCATCCATACACAGCCTAGTTCTGGGGAGGCGGATGCAGAACTCCGCCTCCCCCCTCCGTCCCATTTTGTTGTTTTGTTTATTACCTAGAGTTCCTCTCTGGAACATTCCAACCAGGGATCATGCAAGCCTTTGAAGATGAGTAATGGTGATCTGACTTCTCTGGACTTAATAACAATTCCTCCACTGGGGTTAAAGATGACTCACAGGGCTTGTCGAAGGGGAACTGCAAAGCAGGTATTTAAGTAGACTCTAGAAGTGGAATTAGTCTACACAGACACTTTTTACCGGGGGGTGGGGGGGTAGGTGGATGGACTTGACCAGAAGCATAATCCAAAGTTAAGAGATAAGGAGGAAGCAGTGTCCTGCTTGGATTTTTCTGGAAGTAGTGTTTTACAGAGCACCTGAGACACGATGGCACACGTTGTAGAATGTTCCCCATACTGCAATCTGGGAAAGTCTGAGAAAGATAACACTACCGCTGGTGCTACCAGAGGAGACAAAATGCTGTGGCCTGAGGTTTTGATTAGATGTGCACTGCTGCCTCACAGAAAGAGAAGCATCAGAGCACAGGGAGGGGCTGAGGGGACCCACAGGGGGTCCAGCTCAAGCAACACATAGTGCAGTGAGCACCCTTGGGGCAGGTTCGGGTTCCCCCAAGATGAGCGTCTTGGCTGGCTGGGGTTCTCATCAACTTCTGGAGAAGTTTCCTTTCTATGAACTACTCAGCTCAGAGCCAGACGGAGGCCAGTGTGCACCGAGCTAAGCTGTGCAGACGCCGAGCAGGGAGGATGAGCGGAAAAGACCTAAGTGGCTGCCGTCTGGTGACCTGAAGTGAGCTGGCTACGAAGGGCAATGACAAAGGAAAAGGCTTTCAAACCATCCAGGACAGCCTCCGACGGCTGGGAGTGCCAGTGGCAGACAGACTAGGTTGGTGGCCGGTGGCCGCCAGTCGAAGAGGGGCATCACACAGCCTGGGAGGTGAAAACAAGGGGCTATAAATAGCAGCACACAAGGAAGCTCTATAAACAGAGCCCAGCCACGGAGCAACACGGGGGAGAACACAGGCAGACTCCATGCAGACAGGAATCCACGCTCCCCACGCGTGGGCAGTGGCAGGACCCCCGAACCTGGGTGATGTACATACACATCCTCACCGGGACACATGCACACAAACACCCCTCGGTAGGCTGCCCACACTCCATCACTGCCTGGGTGTCTGCTGCCTTTGGACCTTTTGGTCGAGGGGTCACCTCTCACTTTTTCCAGGCTTTGCACAAAGCCAGCAGTGTAGGGCACGGTGGCTTCACCACCGTATGTATGGAATGCGTCTCCCTTCAGGAGGCGAGGTACTGCATCACTTCCCAGGACAAGAAACATCAGGCAGGGAGGGGAAGGGAGAGTGAGGCAAAGAAGAGCTAAGTGAAAAGAGAGGCCTGGCGTCGGAGACACAAACCTTGGACTGCGTTTCTCAGAAGGCTGAGGAGGGACCCCCTGGCTCCCCCAAGTGCCTGGAGCGGACGCTCAACGGACACTCACTTCCTTCCGATGGTACTGGTCCAATTTTGGGGGGCTTTACATCTGGCCCACTGAGTATGCCCTAGCTTGGCCTCATGGGGATTTTACAAGGCTTGGGGTCAGACAGGAAGGTGAATATAAAGGTGATGTTCTACCCTCTGCCCAGTCCTTAAATTTACTTCTCTGCTGCTCCTGCCAATGTGTCTCCTTCCACGACTTTTATGGGCTTCCTGGTTCCTTCCTTCCAGGACCCTGGGACCCCCTCTTGGCAGGGGCCTTCACGAAGGCTACAGCCAGGTTTCTCACAGTGGTGACAGCGCGGTAGGAAAGCCTCTACAGCTTCAAGACATGAACGCGCTTTGAAAACTCAAATTCAGCATTTCAATGTAAATAAGACTATGGATACCTTGAAAAAAATAATTATTACAGTTTGTGTTACAGTAAGGGAGAGAAGAAGTTCATTTAGCCATGAGAACATTAAAACAATTAACTTCTCAGCTAATCAGGATCAACCCTTTTCCTCTTCTATCTGTGGTCAAGAATCTAGTGATAATGGATTTTTATAAAGCTGCTGTTAATGACCAATCCCTTTGCCTTTTCCTGGTTAACTCCAGTTCCAGTTCATCAGGTTATTTCTTTTTTCTTTTTTTTTTTTTTTCGGTATGCGGGCCTCTCACTGTTGTGGCCTCTCCTGTTGTGGAGCACAGGGTCCGGACGCGCAGGCTCAGCAGCCATGGCTCACGGGCCCAGCCACTCCGCGGCATGTGGGATCTTCCCGGCCCGGGGCACGAACCCGTGTCCCCTGCATCGGCAGGCGGACTCTCAACCACTGCGCCACCAGGGAAGCCCCAAGTTATTTCTTTAAACCAATGATCACTGCGGGCGGCGGCTGGGTGCAAAGGAAGGTGCCTGAACCTTACACAGCTCTGATAAAATCAGTACGCTTGCCTCATGATGAATTACGCAACTCGATTTCAGAAACCATTTCAGACCGTAACTGAATTACAGTCTGGTCTATACTCTTCCTGCAAGAGTCATCTGAGAACAGAGGGTTTTTTGTTTTTTTTTTTTTCTGATTTTGTTTTTTTCATTTCCTTGTAACTTCAAACATCATTTGAAACCCACGCTACAGGTTAGCCGCTAGTTACAGGACTGCACCGGGACACATCTGCTTACGGTGGTGTTTCCTTCTCGGAGGTGTGGGCAGCCGTTATGTCAACTGCCGGCAAGCTGAGTTTAGCAAAGAGAGAATGAGAATTCTGTGCCTTCAGGATCAGGTAATGGCAGCCCGCGGCACAGGGATGAGTCTCTCCCGAGAATGCCTGGCTGCATCTCTTGGGTCCTTTAAAGAATGGACGAGGTAAGGAAGGAGCCAAGTTTCCTAAAGCTGTTGGAAGGCTGTGACGAGTAGAAGGCTAGGAGGGATGGTCTGGAACTCTGCATCAAAAGACACCTGGGTAGGGTCTGGGAACAGATGTTCTCCTGTGGGAAACCCTATCAGCTCCAGAAGCGGGGGATTCCCTTTGCTCAGGAGGCCATGCAGCGCTCAGAATGAGGCAGGTGGGCGCCAGCCCTGGTGGGCGTCACGGCGGGGTGTGCCGCTTCACGCCGCCGTCTCCACGCCGTGAGTTTCATGCACAGGAGGCGGCGATGCAATTGTCCTGCCAGTGAGCTGAGCGGCCCGTGGTGGCTATCTGCTCAACAGGCTTCTGGTGGGGGGTGGAATGTGCCAGAGAAACTACCCTCAAGTTGGGAGGAGGAGGGGACAGATGTCTGCGTTTGGGTCATTTGTCATCACTTGGGAAGGAGACCTTTCTAACAATGTTGTAGCTCCAGAGGTGGGGAGAAACATCCGATGGTGGAGAGAAGAGAAGTTCAAGTTAGGAAAAGAGTTGTCTCAAGCTTGACATTGCTCAAGGGCCAACAGAAGATGAAGATAGGAGCCCTGCTTCGCTAAACCAGCCCTGCCCTTCTGTCTGTGGCACCCTGGAAAGCTGGTGGGGAAGACGCAGGGCGGGGGGCACCACAGTGTTTCCATTTTAAGGCTGTTCCAAACTCCTGCATCCTTGCCTCGCCAGATTTTCCTCTCCTCTCTCTTAAATGGTAGCCTGTTATTAATGAGGTCCCCAAGGGGAGAGGAATGTCTAAAAACGGACACTGCTGAGTTCCATGACTGTCAGGCTGGCCCCCTGTAGCCTCTTCTAGCAGAAACTACAAACTCACAGGAACAATTCCTGCAGGACAAAGGGTCTCTCCTCTGGGACTCATTACAGGGTCCACTTCCCTGCCCCCAAGTCTTAAGCCCTGAAATTATATTAGAACTTTCTCATCTTGGAAACACACCTATGCATTCATTCATACATATGCGTAGCTGCATCTTTATGCGCACATGTATGTAATCATGCACTGAGGTAGTTTAAAGTGATTCTATAAGGGAAGGTTGGCTTGAGCATTAGTTCTTCCTATGGCCTGGTATATAAAGGAGAAGGTTAAGTTCACAAACTATGGTGCTGTAGGCTATAGAAATATCTACTCACAACCTGCTTGTATCTCAGGGGGAGTATTCAAAAGCATCATGGCACTGGCAGCATCAATGTCAGGATCTGGAAAAATCAACCAATAAACAACATTATTTACAACGGGGCTGGTGTGTGTGGGTGTTTTTCCCCCTGCACGTTACAGTTTATGAATGCAACAGAGAAAAAAAATTCCAGGATCTAGAGGAGCTATCCCAAAGGTGACTTTTCTTCCCATTTGGATTTGCAAGGAAGAATGTTATTCTAGAATGAGATTTAAGGGGCATGTTAGCAAGTTTTTCAGATAAAGCACGGGTTTTTTTTCGCAGTTTGCTAATTTCATAATTTGCACTGTATGTTCCTGATAAGTTGCTGATCTTTTCACCCGCACAGCTTTGTCCCCGGGGGTGGAGGAGAGGAGAGTGGGGTGACAATAGAAAGTTCAGCCACCGGAATCTTTAATGAACCAGGGACGCTCACAGCACCAAGAAAAGAAAGCACTAAATACACCTGCATCTAGTGAGATACAAACAAGATATTCGGTCATTTCCATTTGTCAGCAGAATGTAAACTGTATTTTATGAGGTTGTCGCAGCAGTGGTGGAGGCGGTGAAGGCATTAAACACACACACACATCAATATAAAGAAAAAAATTAAAGTTCTGATGTTGAGGGGACAACATTTGTTTCCACATCTATTATTGCTTTTAATATGGGACCAAAAAAAACTCATCACTTCATTGCTATCAGTCTTAATAGGTTTCTGAATCCTTTCTGATCCACCGGTTGACAGATGGCAGGTTATATACAGACAGAAAAATATTATCCTTTTATAACTAAATTCATTTTCCTCTGAGAAACAGCAGCTCTGCTGCTATGGAAACGAAAGTCACCATGGCAACAGTAAACAACCCCCAAGAATGGTCACTGAATAGGCTGAAAAGAACATCTGCCCCAGCGCAGCGTCCCAGCTGCCCTGGGGTAAAATTCGCTGAGGCCCAGTGACAGGAGCTGCCGCTTGAGCCCGGTCCAAATAAAGGAAGTCTACATCCAAATGCCTGCCCTTGAAGATTACTACTTCTGCATCCACTAAACCGATGACTAATGACGGGGTGCGGGGTGGCGGGGTCGCACTTGTCAGTTTTCGTATAAATTACATACCAAAAAATTCAATTTACGGCTAATGGCACTTTATCTGGGGTTTTATGTTAGAAAATAACTTTTTTACCGTTTAAAAAAGTACATGTTTCATAACTTTATATGTGCAGTTTAATTCCCGGGGAGTAACGTGATACAGTATAAAGCCCTACCAGTGATTAATAATACGGTTGACTCTGGTTTCAGAAGACAGTGTCTCAAAACAGAAAAAAACCCGAAAAACAAACAAAGGCAAAGGAACTTGACTCTTCAGGTCTTTTTCTATTTTGCCTGCAGGAGGTCCATTACTTACACTTCATAATGGAGTAGAATTTTATTTTAAGAAGTATATTGTAGGAGAAACAGGTAGATTAACTTATTTGACAACTCCTGGGGTGAAACTCCTAAAACAGTCATCGATTCCCACTGATGTTAAAATATATATATTAGTTGAATGATGAACCAAAAAACTTAAAGTTCCACTCAGTGCTCCCAGGGCTGCCGCTGTCCCTGCCCTCTCATGTCCCCACCAGGACAAAGGGCTCGCAGTGTCAGGGTACTGCTGGTACCCCACAAGCCATGGGCAGCAAGCAGCTCCTCGGAGGTGCCATGGTTGTGGGGGCTGAGGCCTTCCTCTCCTAGTCCCTCTTTTTGGAAAGGGCCTTTCCTTTCTCAGGAATGAGAAAACATGCCTGTTTCCCCTCGCCAAGCAAAGGTTCTTTGCCATCTTCAAGAATGCAAGTGCTGCAGGCAACCCAGGTTTGGCCTGGCTGGACGGTCCCCACCTCCCCAGGCCACTCTCATTGGAGTTTTCCTGAGTGACCAGGAGGTTTGATGCGGGCAGAACAAGAGGAAACATAGTTAAGAAGTCTGGAGTCTTTTCCTACTTATTTTGCCTGAAAACTAAAGAAAGTAGTTCCGTACTCTTCAAAAACACATTCGACCTCAGGAGGAAGGTGTAAAGGGCCACAGATAGAAAGATGTAATGAAAGAAGGAAAAAGAAGGGAGAGAAAGAGAACTTTAAAGGGCAAGAGTATTAACATCATTAACATTCACCGAACCTAAGTGGGGCAGCCCCAAGGGCAACATGGGGAATGCTTCAGACCCTCGTAACATCCACCCATGACCCCTACCCCCACCTCACCCAGCCAAGCCAAATAAACATATAATCTAAGTAAAAATAGGATGCTTTAGGACAAGCCCTCCAATCCTTCCTTCCAACCAGATTTGCCATGCCTGAGGCCTCCACAGATAAGAATTCTGTTGCTACCTTGGCACTCCTGCTGGTCTCCAGGCATCTGGGGCAAATGTAACACCCAGTCTTCTCATTATTTCATTCATAATCAATTCCTAAGCCCCACTCTCCATTCTGAATGGGTCAGTTCCTGCTCATGAAGCCCCATGAGCAGAATGGAATGGAGGGCAAGGCACAGGATTCCTCCCTCATGATATCTTGGTAGGTGAATTGGCAAACATGAGAACTGTAAATGGTATGAGAAAACGTGATCATGAGTTTGTGCAGGTGTGTACACCCTGGCACGACAGTGCCAGCCCTTCCCTGGGGGATACAGTGAGTGTCATCCTTGGCGTACGGGTTGATGAGTCTGACAAATTTTATACCAGCGCTACCACCACCATAATCAAGGTAAAGAGGAGAGTGAAGATACAGATTTCCATCACCCCGAAGTTTCCTCGTGCCCCTTTGCTGTCATCCCTACCCTTGCTCTGGGCAACTACTGATTCGCTTTGTGTTATTCATCCAGGCTGTGATGTCAGCAGTTCATTCCTATTACCGTTACTGTCAAGTAGTACCCCATTGTATGGATACACTACCATTTGTTTATCCATCTACCCGTAGATGGACATTTGGGTTGATTCCAGTTTGGGAACTTGCAGAAAAAGCTGCTGTGAACTTTTCTACCAGTCTTCTGAGAACAGCTTTTCATTCCCTTGGGTAACCGCTGGTAAGTGTACGTTTAACTTTACAGAGGATTGATTCTCTTTTCCAAAGAGGCTGTACCACGTATGAGTTCCGGTTGCTCCACATTTTTGTCAATCTTTTAAAACTTGAGCCTTTCTAGATGTGTCGTGGTATTTCCTCGTGGTTTTAACTTGTATTTCCCTACTGACAAACGATGTTGAACATCTTTTCATGTGCATAACGGCCATGTGTAGATCTTCTTTTGTGGAAAACCTGTTCAAGTTTGTGCCTGTTTTTTCATTGGGTTGTTAAATTTCTTACGACTGAATTGTAAGGTTTCTTTAAACATTCTAGATAGAAGTCCTTTGCAAGATATATTTTTCTGAGTCCACGGCCTGTCTGTTTAGCTTCTTAATAGTGTCTTTTAATAAGGAGAAGTTTGAAATTTTTGTAAAATCCAATTTATCCATTTCTTTTATAGCTCAATGCTTTTTGTGTCCCAACTAAGAAATCTCTGCCTTACCCCAAAACTGCACAGAATTGTCTCCTGAGTGGCATCTTTTTGTCTCATTTGTTAGTGTATCAAATATAACATTATCTGGGTTCAATACTCAGATACAGATAAATGAAAATGGAAGTAATCAACCAGACCTCCTTCTTGATCCAGTAAGCTGCTTAAGCACGGATCTTCCAGAACTGTACAGGTCAATGCTAGAAGGGCCAGCTTTGGCTCCAGGTGTGTTGAAGAAACACCAGACAGCCCGAAAGAAGCCTCAATCAGCCATGTTTCTATGTCAAAAAGTCTCTCGGATCCTCTACTAAACATCTGACACACCTTTACACTTGTCACACCCAGGCATCCTGTGCGTGTCTCAGTCTTCAGAGCCAAAAACCACCCATCCCTCCTCTCTAAAGAGATACTACAATATTATTAAAATGTCTAAGATTTTTTCCCTTAAAACAAAAATCAAGAAAGTAATGCATGCCCACTGTGAACAAAAAATATACACTAGGGGGGCTTCCCTGGTGGCGCAGTGGTTGAGAGTCCACCTGCCAATGCAGGGAACATGGATTCGTGCCCCAGTCCAGGAAGATCCCACATGCCGCGGAGCGGCTGGGCCCGTGAGCCATGGCCGCTGAGCCTGTGCGTCCAGAGCCTGTGCTCCGCAACGGGAGAGGCCACAGCGGTGGGAGGCCCGTGTAACGCAAAAAAAAAAAAAAAAAAAAAGTGTGTATATATATATATATATATATATATATACTAGGTGGATATAATTTGAGAAATAAATGCCTTCCCCACTCCCAGATTCACATTTTTTTGTACATATGTCCAGAAACTGTCTATACAAATACAGGTGTTTATATATATCCACTGAAATACCAGCACACGTACACTTACACATGCACACATATCTATTCTTTAAAAATTGGTTCATGTGGAAAATACTCTTCTGCAGATAACTTTGTCCCCCTATTTTTCACTTAATGACAGATCTTGGCACACTGTCATATTAGTATACATAAGCCGAAGTTTTTTTGTGGTGACTTTTTCATGCATAAAAACACACCACAGTGTTCGTACCGACATTCCCTCTCCTTTAGACTGCAGACTCTCAGAAGGCAGACACAAAGCGTTTGTAACGGGAAACCTGCACCCAGCACACTGCTTTCTCCCTACAAATCCTGAGCCCCTGAAGACACTGCCTTAGCACAGCAATCCCCTCCTTCTCTCCCGGCCCCCCTCCCCATGAGGACCCAGCATGGCCCCCATCTCTCCCTCCTCTGCCGTGTACAGCTCTTACTTCTCAACCTCTCTCTGGGGCTCACCCCCAGCTGCCACCTTGGTGACGTGTTAGTTTTCATGAGCACACTTTGGGTGTCCCTAAAAGCCTCTCAAGCCCTGTGCTCAGGAGAGAGCTGGCAGTGGTCTGTGTCCTTAGGTACCCAAGGGGCTTTCTGATGGAAGCACATCTTCTTGGTGGGATGCTTTTGACCAAGGATGCTTGTTCTGGAGCTTTTTGGCTGGAGC